GAGAACGTAGATTGGTCATTCTTGGATTCGATAACTGATATCAATGACACAGTAAACACTTGGTGCAATAAATTTTCCGAAACTGCAGACAAACACGCTCCCATTAAAACCAGACGAGTTAAATGCACGAGCAAATCTCCTTGGATCACACCGGAACTTACAGAATTAATGCGAGAGCGTGATTACCACCAGAAACAAGCACATAAAACGAACTCCGAATATCATTGGCAAAAGTTTCGAGAACTCAGAAATTATATTAACAACCAAATTAAGCTAGCAAAATCTAAGTACTATCAAGATTCCGTGAACGCTAATAAGGATAATCCCTCTGAACTTTGGAAAACATTAAATGAACTAACATCTCGCAGTAAATCTGGTACAAACCCGTCATGTATAATCTCTGAAGAAAAACCCATCACTGACCAAAAATCCATAGCAACAATTTTAAACGAGTATTTCACATCTATTGGAAGAAAACTAGCAGATAAGATTAAGAGTACATTTCAACTTAAAAAACCACCGCTATCCTCTGATCTACCGTACAGTTTTGAGTTCAAAGAAGTAGACGAGTCCTTCATTCTTCGAGAGCTCGGATCTCTTAAAACAAATAAAGCCACCGGTCTAGATCAAATCAGCGCAAAGTTACTAAAAGATTCCTCCTCTATTATAGCATCTGGTCTAACAAAGATAATTAATGCCTCGTTCGTTTCACAAACATTCCCAGATATTTGGAAAAAAGGCAAGATTATTCCCTTCTTCAAATCCAATGACCCAACATCTCCTAATAATTACAGACCTATAACTATTTTACCAATCGTAAGTAAAATAATGGAGCGCATAGTTCACAGACAAGTGTACGAGTACTTACAAGAGCATGATCTAATCACCTCAGAACAATTTGGTTTTCGCCCTAAGTTATCCACAAGCATTGCTTTGACACAACTCACTGAGGAAATCTTGCACAATCTCGACAATAAATTGGTTACCGGTGCAGTTTTTATCGACTTGCGAAAGGCGTTTGACACGGTAGATCACGAACTGCTAATTTTGAAATTAAGAAATCTTGGTTTTTCAAAGTCTGTCATTAACTGGTTCACGTCCTATTTGTCATCACGTACAGTAGTCACATCTATCAACAATTCAACATCGAGTGCAAGACCAGTCACCGTTGGTGTGCCGCAAGGAAGCATATTGGGCCCGTTACTTTTCTTGATATTCATTAACGACTTGCTTCAATGTCTTAATAACTGTAAGTCGATTCTTTATGCTGATGATACATTATTGTACTACTCTGCAAAGTCAACAACAGAGCTTGAAGCTAAAATAAACGCTGATTTACAATCACTTTCACACTGGCTAAGTAACAATCTCCTAACTTTAAACTACGAGAAAACCAAGTTCATGATCTTTACCAACAGAAAGCAGTCGTTTATCAATGTAAACATCATGATTCAGAACGAAAAAGTATCACAGGAGAAATCAATGAAATATCTTGGAGTTACTTTTAGTGAAGATTTATCTTGGCACGAGCATATTGACAAAACAATCTCCAAAATTAATCAAAGACTTGGTGTTCTACGACGCATCAAAGATTTCTTGGACTTGGATACACGTTATATTCTTTATACGTCTCTAATACTGCCACTGTTTGATTATGCCGATACCATTTGGGGTGATAAGAACAATTCGGTGCTGATGGATTCCCTTCAAACTGTAGAGAACAAAGCTGCAAAGCTGATCTTAGATGAACATCCACGCTATTCTGCAACGGAAGCACTACGACGACTAAAATGGACAACACTTAAAACTAGAAGACATAACCATAGATGTATATTTATTTATAAATGTTTAAATGATTTAATTGACTTTAAATTTGAATTAACAAAGAACGAAGACATTCACAGCTATTACACGAGAAGAAAAAACGACCTCCACCTCCCAAAGACGAACACAAACAAGGGAAAACAAAGACCAAGCTACCAAGCATCAAAAGACTTTAACAACCTAGAACCAGACATTAGAAACGCTAACTCGTTATACAAGTTTAAAACTCTATTAAAAAACGCTGTGTAGGCGAGAATTACATAGTAAACATAGTCTTAGTTCCATTACGTTTTGTATATATATATATATATATATATATATATATATATATATATATATATATATATATATATGAATATAATTTTTTTATTTAAAAAATTAAAAAAGACTTCTACAGGCAATAAAAAATTTAAAAATTTTGTCCCAACGTTTTTAAATTTTTTATTGCCTGTAGAAGTCTTTTTTAATTTTTTAAATAAAAAAATTATATTCATATATATACCAGGCATGATTCCAAAAACCTATTCATATATATATATATATATATATATATATATATATATATATATATATATATATATATATATATTATATATATATATATATATATATATATACTGTTAGGGCGATCAGTGGATAACATGATATTTTTGTAAAAGTTTGTAACTGATCTATT